GCAAACTTTTTAGCATAGCATTTTGGTTCATTAGCTAAAAGAAGTCGTCCAGTTAAAGAAATAAGAACAAAATTACCATCTAGCAACATTATTGATCAGTAAAAATGAGAGAATGTCAGTATAAAATTATAAATGAAGGATAATTTGGGCACTATTTAAAACTATACATAATTGTTTTGAGGTAGCTAACGTGTTAGGGGGTCTACAATTCTTATTTTATTTTAAGTGGTCTGCCAGCTAAAAAAAAGTAAAGGACCACTAAGTGAAAGAGCTTCTGGTTTAAAACTGGTGACCTAGATCTCTAGTTTATGGTAAGTCATATCTCTAGTTGTACTCATGCTACTACTTTGGATCACTTTCAGTCATTTAATCAGTGATCGATGACTTATAAAACCATTAAAGACTTATCTGAACACGTACATGGCCATGTACAATGAGCTCAGACTTAAAAAAAATGAATAAAACGCTCTTGTATTTTGCATGTTTTGCTCACACCTAATTATAACAAGCAACCTTATGTACAAAAACATGCTAAAGCAAAAAATTAAAGAACTATTAGCACACACACTACTCAAAAACTAATTAAAAACAACTCAGTACCTCTTTTTTCCTTTTTTTTAAAAAAGTCAGCTACTTTGTGGGGGATTACAAACGAAAACTGCAACTGAGAAGCAAAACTGTTCATTAGCATAGCAAATCTCTCCCAGAATTCATCTGTGTTGATGGGACAAAAGTCAAAAGTGTTCAACAAGCTCTCTGCATGTACTGGAATGACACTTCTGCGGGTTAGCTCCCAAAACACAGTATGAAATAAGAGCAAGCAGCTGTCTCTTACTGCGTCCAGATGGCAGCAGAACGTATGTAAATTGCCTCATTAACCTTACAGCACTTAACTACCGGGCTGCGCTGATGGTTCGGCCTACACGGGCATTTTATTAAAGAACATTAATAGTATCAGGCAGCAATCACCACTGCCTGAGGTGATTTGCTCTGGCATTATCAAACACTGTAATAATTATACATGACAACCTCCTGATTAATGCATTCATGAATATTACAACACTGCATTATCTTTAGTTGTGCCTTCCATGAACTTCAAGGCTGTTTTAACAAACACTACAAGAAAAGTAGTGCCTGAATGTCTTTCTTCTGCAGGACACAAAATAATATATTTGGAAAATTTCTAAAAATTTTAAAAGATTAATTTTGGGACAAATTATTCTTTAAACCACCTTAGACATTGAGAGGGACATGTCCACACCAATATTCAGATTAGTAGTGGTTTAATGTTTACCCCCCCCCTATAAACTACCAATAAACATATTAAAAACAATCAGTTACTCTTTTCTTTTCTTTTTTTAAGTCAGCTACTGTGTAAAGGATTACAAACGAAAACTGCAACTGAAAAGCAAAACTGCTCATTAGCATAGCGAATCACTCCGAGAATTAATCTGTGTTGATGGTACAAAAGTCAAAATCGTTTAACAATCTCTTCTATTTTGGTCCCTCAAAATGTTGAATAATTGATCAGATTTATACTCAAAAAAAAAAAAAAGGTTCCAAAGAGATGCCATTTTGGGCTCCCTAAAGAACCTTTTACTGAACAGTTCTTAAAAGAACCATTTTTTCTTAGTGTGAAGTACATTTGAACAATCTAAAGTACCTTCTTCCACTATAAAGAACCTTTTGTGGAATGGAAAGATTCCAAGGATGTTAAAGGTTCTTCATGAAAGCATAAACACCAGTAAAGAACCTTTATTTTTAGGTCTTGTGATGATCAAAAATACATCTACTAAAAACCTACTTGATATCTATATCCACAATGTGCATTTCTATACGATTTTCCTCTCTGCAGCCCAAAAACGTTTCGAGTCAATGGGTGTGACACTAGGGAGAACACACGCCCATGGCCTCTTGCCCAAGCCGCACAGTTCTCTATGTGAGGCTGTCTGATTGTATTGAGCCCTTTAGCCCTCAATAAACACTCTTCCTCTGTCAGAGAGTCTCAGTGGCCTCCTATTCATGCGCAGGTAGAATGCCTAAAGAACGTGTGAGAGGAGAGAAAAAAACAGCTTGTTGCTTCTATTGAACCTTTTATTACGTCCCTTCAAAGGCTTATGGCAGAGGAGGAGAGCGAGAAAGAAAGGATCTGCCGTCTACTTAGTGCCATTGTACTCCCAACATGTCGGCTCTGAGCTGTGTGAGAAAACACAAGCACGCTACATCCAAAATATTGCACGTCGAGCAAATCAAAGTGCACTAGCTAGAGACAAAATGGCGATTTTTGGGACACGGATTCAGGAAGATGCTTTTAAAAAAATATGATCAAACAGACACTAATGTAATTCAAATGTAATAGAGATGCAGGTGTTGTAAGCGTATCTATAATTTCAAAAATACTAAAATTAATAAAGATTTATTTTTTGAAAGCATAAACACCAGTAAAGAACCTTTATTTTTAGGTCTTGTGATGATCAAAAATACATCTACTAAAAACCTACTTGATATCTATATCCACAATGTGCATTTCTATACGATTTTCCTCTCTGCAGCCCAAAAACGTTTCGAGTCAATGGGTGTGACACTAGGGAGAACACACGCCCATGGCCTCTTGCCCAAGCCGCACAGTTCTCTATGTGAGGCTGTCTGATTGTATTGAGCCCTTTAGCCCTCAATAAACACTCTTCCTCTGTCAGAGAGTCTCAGTGGCCTCCTATTCATGCGCAGGTAGAATGCCTAAAGAACGTGTGAGAGGAGAGAAAAAAACAGCTTGTTGCTTCTATTGAACCTTTTATTACGTCCCTTCAAAGGCTTATGGCAGAGGAGGAGAGCGAGAAAGAAAGGATCTGCCGTCTACTTAGTGCCATTGTACTCCCAACATGTCGGCTCTGAGCTGTGTGAGAAAACACAAGCAGGCTACATCCAAAATATTGCACGTCGAGCAAATCAAAGTGCACTAGCTAGAGACAAAATGGCGATTTTTGGGACACGGATTCAGGAAGATGCTTTTAAAAAAATATGATCAAACAGACACTAATGTAATTCAAATGTAATAGAGATGCAGGTGTTATATAAGCGTCTCTATAATTTCAAAAATACTAAAATTAATAAAGATTTATTTTTACACATCTAATAACTCATTTTTTTAATTGCCATATTAAACACATATGAATCCTGAACTGAAATCCAACAAACAAATATTAATTGTGCTTTTCCTCCCTTTTTAAATTTTGTTAGTCTAAAAGGTGGTTTTAAAAAGTCTTTTGTCGACTTTAATAGTCCTCAACATACAATTCTTTTAAAATTATAATACACTGTTCAGGATATTGTGCAAAAAGGTTGTTTTATCAACCCACTACTCCATCCTTCAGCTTTCCTCATCGCACGTTCATTTTTGCATTATTATTCCTAACTGTATGTAATTTCACATGCGCTAAACCTAATCTTACACAGACAAAGCACTTAAACAAGCTGAGAATCCAACGCTCCGTCTAATCCACAGATTAAAGAAAGCCAAGAGTAACAAAACATGCTATTTGGATCCTAAAAAGCAATCCTAATAAACCAAACTTGCTCTTTACTAAAGCAGAACATGCACTGTAAACTGACAGGCCTTGTATGGAAAAAAAACATTTAAAAAAAAAACTGATATGCAATTTTGAACAGCACGGTTGAATAAAGACTCCCGCTTACACACACACAAGGAGACGTTGTTCATGCTTCTCCTTGCATGTGTGCCAGACTTCTTTCTCCGTGGTCCATACATTGCAGAAGAGTTGGCCCCTCACATGCTGCATACTGGCCCCCAACATTGAGCGCTGGCCCCTTGATTGTGCAGGGCAAAAGATGCAAGGGGGAAAAAGACAGAAGAAGAGACAAAGTAGTGAAAAAAAGAGCGAAAACAACTGGCAGGCATCCAGACTCATGGGGACTGCGTTGATCATTATGTCTAGCCTTCAGGTGTCTGAGCCGGCTGCGTTTTGGGGGGGAGGTGTGGTTACCAAAGAAGCAGACAAAGAGAAACTCGTTCACCGGGATCAAGAAAGCAAGGGAGGGAGGGAGGGCAGCGAGAGAGAGAAAAAAATGAGAAAATGCTATAAAAATTTGATTAGCCGATCCTCCACTGAAGTGACTTTCTGTGTTCTCCTGCCTTTTTTTTTTTTTTTTTCAAAGCATCGCCCCAGAGAACAGGACAGACAGATTTTTTTACAGGTCCTAATTAAAAACATCTGAAGACCCTCAGACATCAAACAGTCTTGCAAGGTCTCACTGCATTGCATTGCGATCTTAATAAGCCTTTTTTTTTCTGAACTCAGGTTTCCCAGCTCTCAAGATGTTAAATTAATATTAATACAAGCATTATTTATATTTACGAGCCACATTTAAACATGCATATGGAAGTCTGCATAAGATTAATGCAGAAAAACAAACACACAACTGTTTGACACGGGTCACCGGCTGTCACAACTTCACAGCACGCGTCAAATTGAACAAAATCAGACAAATTGCATCAGATTTTCACATGGGATAATAATAAATCTCCTTTGAATATTAAAATAAAACTGTATTTTTTTTTTTAAAGGATTACATTTTCTGAATTAATACAATTATTGACTGATCGGGTCAATGGGTTTACGCTGGACTACATTAGGTTGAAAATGTTTATAACATAATACAGGTGTGTTTCACAAAAAGACAAGCAGTAAAATGAATCAAATCAAATTTAAAAATAAACTTGAAGCATGTAAGAATTCACAAACAGTCGACAGTACCATAAAAAAGTCCTATAATATAGGCTAATATAGCCTATAACATAATAAAAAAAAATCTCTAAGTAGCTTTAAACGTTTGTTATTGCAGAATACGTCTGTAAAGATCAAAACAAAAACAAAATCTGATTAAAAACTCCAGTGATATGTTCGTCAAGAGACTACGATAAACATCTAACGCGTCCTGCAAAGTGTTTTTCGTAGAATTAAAAAAGTAATATCGATACTAACCATTCATTCTGCTCGAGACGTCGGGTTCCTCTTGCATTCGCGGGGAAACTCCGAGCGGTTACAGAGGTAACTGCTGCTTGCTGTTGCGTGTGCCGCGATACCTTTGCGTTTAACTTCTGATTCTTTTGCGCGTCTCGCTTCCTGCGCAGTGGGAAGAGACCAGAGCCGCCGCGGCGCGTCACCAGAAGAGAAGCGCTCCTATTGGCTGAACGCGTGCACATTGATAACGCTGCTCTTTGTTCCATTGGGCGCAAGCGGAGGGACAGACGCACCTCCTCGCTGATTTCTGTAGCATTCCTGCTATGGAGATGTTTACCAGAACTTAGCTTTGCATTTCCTTTCCTTTCGAGATTTAAGACTCTTTAACATAGCAGCTAAACAGATCACATACTGTACTGTAGAGGTTGCAAGCAAAGTCTAAATATATATATATATATATATTTAATATTTAATAAAAATTATTTTATTAAATTATTATAAAAATATTGATGCAACTAACACGTTCAAGGCCCAGAAAGGACGCTCCTATTGGCTGAACGCGTGCACATTGATAACGCTGCTCTTTGTTCCATTGGGCGCAAGCGGAGGGACAGACGCTCCTCCTCGCTGATTTCTGTGCGCAAGAATGTGTGAGAAGAAAAATGGGGAATGTCTTCTGATGTCTGAGGTCAAAACGTCTTCAAAGCTCCTGGAACAAACATTGCACCAGTAAGAATCTGCATAGGTAGTTTAATTGATGGAGAACTTATTGATCATGGTTTGCATTAATGATAATAATCATGTTGCTTTCATGCATTTTAAATATAGCATCACACAAACTTGATATTCAGATAAAGTCGTTAGTATTCAAATATATGAAGCAGTTAAAGTTATGATATTATGTAATATTATTATTAGCCTATTATAATATATTTTAGACTAAATAAATAGAAATAAATCATATAAACAAAATATTCTGTATAGTAATTGATGTTTGCATGGGCATAGTTTTATTAGTAAACACGTTTAACCGTCTGATGAAAGACGTTTCTTTTTATTTGAAAACAACACTGTTTTAATGTATCATTTTAAATATATATATAAAAAAAACGAAAACTGGTAGGTGTTGCTACTAGAAATTTTCTGTAAAACCAAAGCTTAAAAATAAAACAACTCTGAAACCATTACATATACTGTCTTTCAAAATATAATTTTATTTAATATGGTAAGATGTCTTAACTAAACACTGTTAACCAAATAACAGATTTTAACTATAGCATTATATATATACAGATACTGAAAACCAATAGCATTTCCACTAAATTATGTGTATTTGCAATAGATAATTTTTAATATAGCTTGCACCTGTAAGAAAATGTTGAAATTACTGAAAAAAAGAAAAAAAAAGAAAGAAAGAAAGGCACCTTATGGTGATTTGGTTGTAACATCACATCCTGAATAGTTAATTATTTTAATTTAATTTTATTATTATTTATTTATTTATGGGTCAAACAAATGCATCAGAAGGCTATAATATCTTGCTTGAATAATATTCAGTGTTCCTTTATTCTCAAGTCTGACGTATTCTTCATAAGATACCTGTTTATTTGTGCATCTAGCACGTGTAAGCCACTTCCATTTACATATATCCTTCACTTCCCGAGTGGTTTTAATTGGATAAATGTCCCACATGGCATTAAACACAGTACTCAGCAAAAATTAATCGGGATGCTCCATAAAGCCATCTTGTTTGCTCAGTTACACCCTATTTTCCACAAAATGAGTGCTAATCATTGGCGTTCCACCATAGGAAGCTCTTTTCTTAGGATTTTGATCGATTCGGTTCACGCTTCAATTTGAAGACACTGAATTGTGCTCAAATCCTCAGACAAGAGGAATATCCTGGCCTCTTTCTCTCCGAGTGGCTGGGAAAACCAAAGGCCCAAGGTATGTTGGGGAATATTAGAGCGTGCGTAATGCGGGTGAACATCCTCCCTGCATGAATGCAGCATTAAATCAATATTCTGTAAAGCTTCCCCTTCTTGAGTTACTCACTTGACTGCTGTCATGATCCACCATGTGGGTTGTGCAGTTGTTTTCTGATATTTTGTGACGCCCCCCCTCCCTCTTTCTCTCCCTCATGTGAATGGCCCACCACCTTCATGCTTTGATAATTCTGCAAGAGGAGAAAAAGAAGTGTCTGATGACATATTCTTGTCTTTCATTAAATGTGGCAGCCAAAAAAAGGCAAATCCAACAGCTGATTAGCGTACATTAGCTTTGACAGGCATTTGAATCGAGCCGCACCTGCTACTGACAGACTTAGCATCAGCATCCTTTTTTTTTGTTCCTTTCACTCTCAGAATTACGTGTTTCTCATGTTGGTTGGTTAGCTCTGGGTAGCCGATGTAGCATGTGGTGTCAAAAGCATTCCTGCTATGGAGATGTTTACCAGAACTTAGCTTTGCATTTCCTTTCCTTTCGAGATTTAAGACTCTTTAACATAGCAGCTAAACAGATCACATACTGTACTGTAGAGGTTGCAAGCAAAGTCTAAATATATATATATATATATATTTAATATTTAATAAAAATTATTTTATTAAATTATTATAAAAATATTGATGCAACTAACACGTTCAAGGCCTAGAAAGGAAGCAAGGACATTGTTAAAATAGTCCATGTGACATCAGTGGTTCAACCTTAATTTCTTTTTGTGCACAAAGAAAACAGGCCTTTTTTACAAGCAGAGGAAGGGAAGAAATTGTTGAATAAAGGCGTTATTTTTGTTTTCTTTGCGCACAAAAAGTATTCTCGTAGCTTCATAAAATTAAGGTTGAACGACTGATGTCACATGGACTATTTTAACGATGTCCATACTACCTTTCTGGGCCTTGAACGTATTAGTTGCATTGCTGTCTATGCAGGGTCAGAAAGCTCTGGGATTTCATTAAAAATATCTTAATTTGTGTTGTGAAGATGAGCGAAGGTCTTGCGGGTTTGGAAAGACATGAGGGTGAGTAATAATGACAGAGTTTTCATTTTTGGGTGAACTATCCCTTTAAGGTTAGTTTGAAACCCTACGGATACTAAAAGGCAATTTTCTGTAAAAGAGAGTTGATGATTTTGTTAAATGATTAAATCAAAAAATATTATTTGTGGCTCAGTCAATTATACAAGGGCTGTTGACTGTGACATTTCTGTAGTAGTGCCACATTCAGATTCCATTTACAATGGCCGCCTGAGGATAGATAGCATCATTTCCAGTTGACAGTCATGTATCATGTCAGGAAATAGGCTTGTGCCAATTTATTAAGGAGCTATTTTACCATTAATCTCCGATCAGCAGCACAGTCATACTCAGAATGGCCCGTCTTGCTTTCATTTTTATTCACCCAATAAGGGCTTGTCAGTTATGTGTCAATATCCTGCTGCAGGTGTGTGTGTGTGTGTATGCATTTAGAGGGGGCAACAAATCAACAAACAGAATTCAAAATAAAGAAGATCAGCAGCAAAGCATTCGGCTCATCGCAAATGAGCAAAATCTTATCTTTGTTTTCACTCCTAAATTTGCAATGCTTAGCATAAATTGTAGAGAGCAAAGAGGATTCAGAGAACCGTTAATGCATGATGATTTAGGTCTAATTTTAGCCTTAGCTCTGATGCAAGGACGTAAAACAGCCTTGCCCGCGTAGGCTTAAAAAAATATTTCTTGTTTAATTTTTAGATATTTTTTGAAAGCACAATAATAATTTTCCACTTTCCACAATGTGTGATTACCACCTTTAAAAAATGATTGCACATATTTATGAATATTAATGTTTAATCAGTTCAAAGGCGAGTGTGTGCAAAGTATCTGCAGTAGCAATGCATGTATAAATTGCATTATCTTGAGCTGCAGCACAGGCGTCATGCCATATGTATCTAGATATCAACAACTACACTATAACTTACTGTAATAATAGCAGTGTCATTTTTTCAAATAAATCCCATGGAAACTGTGATAGTAAAAGAAAAATATTTATGCAAAAAGAAAAATCTCATTTGTATTCATAGGTACTTTTTTGCACATGTACATTTACATGTACTATATCAACATAATATCAGAATATAAAACATTTTATACACAGTATGTACAACTTTAGAGACAAAAATCTTTACGAATCCTCAAAAGACAGACGCAAATGATCCAGAAACATTGGCTGAGAAAGACCTTTTAATAAATGTAATAAATTAATAAATAAAATCCAGGTGGGGTTAATCAGTCAAGTCATTTGCACTCTTCATATGGATGAATTTAATTATCAGCAAAACTCAATAACAATGAAATCTAAGTCAAACACACGTATTGTATGTACATCCCAAAAGTTGTACATACTGTACATAAAACATATTGACATTTTAGAAACCGTCTCTCTATGTTGATATTGGCGTCTATCCGAACGGCAAAAAAGTATGTGGTAGAACCACACTTTCCGTCCCAACACCTACGAATATGGATGCGATCACGTTTAAGATTTAAAATTATGAGTCAAAATCAGAACATCCCTAGCAAACCTCAAGATTTGAGGTTTCAAGACTTGCAAAATTGTGCAACACTGGCGGTTTCGCTCTAAATCGGAGATTAGGAAAGAAAAATGGCACTCTTTCCATACAAATTTAGCTGCTTTAATCCAGTTCTGAGTGTGCCACGTTCCCTACATCTACTCCATGGAAGTTTGCTACACCGTCAGCTTTTCCATCCATCTGTTGTGAAGACCTCTCTATTGCCTCCACGATGCCATAGATGGGCTATTTAATGCTTGCCTCCTCTGCCTTAAGACACTGCAGCCACAGGTTTCATCCCAAACACACAAACATACATCCACACATATGCACACAAAGCCCCGAGGGAAGAGTGTGGCATCTGCCCCGGCCTCCATGCCAAACAAGGGGAAAGAAAAACCCTACTGCTCAGAGCGACAGCCTGCCAGTCGAGTGCACTGAGGACCCTGGCAGGCATCACGGTTCAGCTGAGAGATACTGATAATATCCACCCGGGTTTGCCTGTGGACACCTTCAAAGAATGCCATTTCTCCAGAAAAACGGCCCGGGCCTAAAAGCAGCCTGGCGTGTGAGCGCAATATGCCTTG